GGGTTAACGTTCTTCTTATACCAATTGTTATGTTCCAAATTCTTAATTAAATTATAGGCTTTAATAAACTACTCCTTATACTTATTATTAGCAGATTAATTGCTCTAATAAACGAAGGTAATACGGATTCGCTTATTAATCTTCTAATAGAAATAGTAAACTTTTATACTATTATCGAAATTATAGCGATCAATAAGGAGGGTAAATTTCTTTTCGAAGTCCTACTATTTTATTCCTTTAATTATTTTTAACTCTTTTAACTGACAACGAGAGTAAACAATAATATTAACGTTATCGTACTTTTTATTAAATTTATGAAACAATTCGAAGGCTATACTATATCTAGTAGGTTCGCTAATAAAAACTTTATTAAATTCGGTTTCGATAGCTTCGAAGGGAGGGCCCTCGATAGGGTAGGTAATTAACGAGAATTTAATGTGTTCAGTAACGAAACTTTTAGGTTTATTAACTTAAATTAATTTAATATAGAGATATTAAGTATAGTATTTGGCAGCGCGCTCGATAAAAATATTTTTACTATCGAAAGTAGGAAATATAATAATACGTAATACTAATTTATAACTACTATCGTTATTAGAAATTATTATTTTAAAGTCTTTAGGGTCCTCATCGTTATTAGGATCTTCGTTAAGGGGGGGAATAATAAATTCGGGTTTAGAAACGGGCTTAGCCTTAAAAACGGCAATAAAACATTAATAAAAATCATTAACGTACTTTAAATATTTATTACATTATTTTTATATGCCTTTTTCGAATTTTTACGGAAATCGTCGAGTTCTTATTTTAAAGCAATAATATTATTAATAAGGGTATTAATAACACTAGAATAAATACCAAAAATAGTAGTAAATTCGTCGGCGTAACTATTACAAAAGTCGCGAATAATTTTATCATAATTCTTAATTATTTCCTACGTATAAAAGAGGGCTTAAATTTAAATTATAATAATATTACTATTACGACATTTAATATTATATTAGATAGTAGCGAATTTAGCTTCGTAAATTTTAAATTCTTCCTATAGTTTTTAACCTTAAATACAGGTAGCAATAATATTATTATAAAGAAGGTAATTAAAGGCCTTAAAAATTATTTTAAAAACGGGGAATTAAGTAAGGCTAAACGTATAATCGGTAGCGATATTGATTTAAATTATTTAATTATTAAAGGATTCGAAGGCTTAAATAACGTTAGAATAATATTTTTAATTAGTTAGATTTAGAATAGCGAGGGTACCGACCGTAATAATAGTAAAAAGGTTATCAGTTACCAAGGGAGCGTATAAAATAATATCGTTAAATATTAATTGCTAAATTAATACGCCGGGTAAGTAAAAGAGAAAAAGAGAATATAAGTTGCTTAATAGCGATATTCGGCTTAATAATTTACTTAATTCGAAACTAGGATTGTAACGCGGAATTTTAATCGTATAGGGACAAATCTTGACTATAAATCGATAATATTAAATTAATAACATTATAACGATTAAAATTAATTATAATTACTCTTCCTTTAAGTAAATGCACGTAATATAATAGTAAAGTATAATAAATTGTTATAGGGCGAGAGGGTACTATTAGGGGTAGGGTAAAATATATATTATTATACGAAAGAAAGAAAGGAAAGTGTACGTAGAGGATTAGTTATATGGGCGAGAGCTTAGTAGGCTAGTCCGTACGCGCGTATGTGAAGCTACACGTAATTAGGATATATAATTAGTGCGTGAATATATAGTTCTAAGCTATAGTATTAGCTTTGGTATAGTATATGTGCAGTTAATGTAGTGTAACTATATTACAGGCTAGCCCTATGATAATAACGAATAGTATAAATTTTTTTATAACTTCTAATCCTAAATTATCTCTATAATAATTTATTTTACTAATTAATCGTTTAAATATTTCTATAATTGGAAGTTACTATACGAAAAATACTATACTTTCGTTACTTATTATTAGAGGATATAAACCGAGCCTCGTAAGCTTAATTTCAATTATTTACGTATTTACAACTATAAAGTATACGCGATAATAGGTACTATATAAAAGAAAGAGTAATAGTTTAAAAAACTTTAATTAAAAGCTTAGATTAGATTCTTAGTCAGCTACACTACCTCCTTTATTTATTAAGTTTAGAACCCGTAGATTAACCGTGTTATTTATATTTATAATATACTTTTTAACGAAGACTTAATTTATTTAGGAAACTTTGATAGTTTTAAAGAAGGATTAAGGTTAATTAGCAACGAGATTATCAATTTATTTAACCGAATTAATTAACTTCTTTAACTATTTACACGATATTTCGAACCTTTTAATATAATTTAAAGAGAAAGTCTTTTCGCACCGCTATTATTGTCTTCAGACACTGCTATCCAAAATTGAACCAAGTATAAATTAGCCAAACTTAGGTCTACGAATACAATAGTAGGGTCAGAAAATTTGATAATTTTTATTTTATATTACTAAGTCAACACCTCCCTTATAGCTCATTATACTCCTATGGTAGGAGTAAAAACTTAATGTTAAAAGTTAATTTGGTTTATCTTCAATGCTCTTTACATTACCAAGGCTACAGATAGTGTATAATTATAATATGAGTGGCGTTTGGTAGAGAAAAAAAGACAAAAATTCCAAGCCCTTTTATATATTATAAGGTCTTAATTCGTTTGAGTTATTTTAGAAAGCATTTTGGATAGCGGTGTCTGAAGACAATAATGGCGGTGCGAAAAGACTTTCTCTAAAATATAGAAAATAACGGTTTTACCCCTCTTCCACTATTAGTCTTTAATAACGAACTTTAAAAAGATTATAACGAAACTATTTCGAAATTAATAGAATTTATTATTTAAAGTAAAATATTTATCCATTTTATACTTAAATACTTTACCCTACTAAGTATACTACTAGCTGCCCTTATTATTAAGTTTATAACCGACTTATTAGAGTTTATTTCTTTCCCAACCTTTAAATTATAAGAAGCCGCGTTTAACGCTAGGAGATTCGCTCAATTAATAGGATAATAGTAAGGTAAGATAGTTATAAAAGTAGAAATTAATTACTTAATTTCAAAGAGTAGTAGGCTAGATTCTATTCAATATTAAGACTTTTCCCTAATTTTAAAAATTTACTACGATTTCAAATATTACAATTTGGGTGATTTTTTTAAGTAAATAGAGGAAATATATTTCGATAATTATAAAGAAATAAGTTTATAAGCTAAAATAGATAAGGATATCCCCCGTACTAAAGGTCTTCAAATCATCGATTGTATATAAGTATATATATATAAGTTTAATAAATATAATTAATTATTAAAAGTAAAGATTCGCTTCATAATTAAAGGAAATTAGTAGTATAATTATAGTAAGGAGACGTATACTTCTACGTTAACTAATCGTTTATGTTGATTAATTATTACGTATACCATTAAATTCAATTTCGAATTTATTTAATATAATATAATAAATACTTTTATTAATACCTACTTCGATAAAGAGATTTATATATATATACCCCCTAATTATTAAAAGTACACTATTATCTTTAAATTCTTTAAAGCCCTTTATAATTTCCGATATACTTTTTTATTGTAGTAGCGAGAATTTAACGGTACTTTCGAAAATTTAGGGTTTAAACCGTTATTCGAAGACTTATATATCCTTAAATATAATAGAGTCTTAATCTTCTATTACGTCGATAATATTATCTTCGCTTCCAATAAATTATAATATAATAAATTACTTAGATTACAAAAGAATTAGAAGAAAAATATAAATTTATTAGCGGTAAAGACTTTTAATAGTTCTTGGGTATTAATATTCTTCGAAATCGAGAGGTAGGCTATATTTAACTATTTTAATAGGAATATATTTATAAAATTACTAGATTAATTAAGAATCCCTATACTTTCGCCTTTATTCTAATAAATAATAAAGAATTTATATTCTATAATAGCGTAGCTTCTTTAAATAGAATTTATAAATATTAGGTCGTTATTAGCTTTATAATATATATTATTATAATTACCCGGCCTAATATTGCTTTCGCCGCTAGCCGATTAGTTCGCTATAATTATAATCCTAGTCTTTAATATCGTAAAGTTATTAATAAAGTTTTATATTACTTTTAATACTACTTTAATTTCTCCTTCTATTATAATACGTTTACGAAGTTCGAAATCGCTTTAAATACATTATACGCCGATAATTCTTTGGATCGAAAGAGTTCGTATAGGTTTACAATAAAGTTCTTTAGTAGTTTAGTTTATTAGGGTGCTATTAAATAAAAGACGGTATCGATATTAATAATAGAAGTAGAGTTCCTTTCTATTTTAAACATAGTAAAGGAAATTATTATTATTATATATTTATATAGGGAGATTAATATTCCCCTTAATAAGGATATCCCTATTATCGGTTATAATAATACTTAAATAATACGAATACTTACTATCGAAGTTATAAAATTAATAATTAACCTTAAATATATCGATATTTATCGTTATTAGTTAAGGTAAGAAATTATAGAGGGAAGGATTCAAATTAAATATTTGGAAATAAAAAGGATACTAACTAACGGTTTAACGAAGGTTCTAAGATAATTAGAGTATAAAAAGTTCTAGGAATTAATAGGAATAGCGAATATACTAGTTCGTAAGGAGATGAAAATAAATAAAAAGGTTACAGATAATATATTAGAGGATATTTATAGTTTAGTTAGAGTAATCAACGTACTAAAAGAAACATTTTATAAATAGCTTCACTTTTACTGTATTTTAGGAAGGTCTACAAATAAGGTAGTGTATTAGAATAGAGGATAGATTTCTAGGATTCTAGCTAAACTCTATATAGGTTAGCTACCTAGCCCCCTAATATTACCTAATTTCTGGGCATATTTGGGTTACCCTAGTACCCCCCATACCTTCTAGGCGAGTCAGATACACACACTCTTCAATCAATCAATTCTATATTGTTATATCTAACAAAAGTCGCTGTCGCAATTGAACTTGGAGCTGCAAGTGCCGGTGGAGACTGCTGGTGGAGAGTGCCGGTGGAGACTGCTGGTGGAGAGTGCCGGTGGAGACTGCTGGTGGAGAGTGCCGGTGGAGAACGCGGTTCGCGTGCAGGGATCAGGATACTAGTTTTAGCCTTGCGGCAGGCAGCGGAGAAGGGTTAGGGTTGAATCGGCAGGTCGCCGATGCTCTTGTTTGAACCTCATTGTCATTTCAGATTCTCTCCCAGTCCGTTTCAAGTGAGGAATAGTACAGCATAGATCACGCGAATAGCTGTCATCACCGTCCGATTGGAACAAGGAATCTAGCGCACTGCCTACCTCTCCAGTGTCATCAAGCTCCAGGGCGGATAGTTCCTCTGCGAGCGACGAATCCCGGTCTTCCTCCTCCTCTTCATCTTGTTGCTCATCTGCCATCGACTTACCTCTTTCTTCCACTTGGTTTACGCTGGAAATGGCTTTCCTTAGGTGCTTAAGTGGGATCTTAGGAGGGTTCTCAGGAGGCGGTCTCTCCCCGACCTTCAACATAACCCCATCAACAACCATCTTCCCATCCCAGTCTCTCACGAACCTCTCCATCTCTTCCTCACTATGCAGACTCACCCACCCATGTGTCTTCAGCGGCCCCGACCTAGCCGGGGGACAGACCGCTACGGCCTTTGGTTCCCCAAAGTTCCTGGTTACGAAGTTGAACAGCCGTGCTGGTCTGCTTAGGGACTCCGGCAGATGCGCCGTTCCGTCCCTGTTATCTGTTGGCACCGGTACAACTTTCACTGTCCAAGGAAACTTATTTCCCGGCCTTGGCACCCATTCCCACAGCTGCCTATTCCCATGCTCCTCCCACGTGAACCTTTTGACCACCAAAACTCCTGCCTCTGGCGCCCTCGCCAGAAGCGCAAGCATCGTTCCCAGCGTGCGCACAGCGTCCATACCAGCCGAGTGGTGCCTCGCTCGGGGTTGTATCCCATGGTTACGCCGGAAGTTGAGAGCCAACATCGTATCTCGCAACGAGATCTTGAGGTGCGTCTTGTGCGCTTCCTTTTTATCTTCCCATCTCGCATCCGCAAGACCGGTGTGCGAAATATCGCACCAGTGCGTGACATAGTCTCCCAACAAAGGGAAAACGGAGCTGATAGCGCGGTGTTCAAGCTCCATGTCGAACCCGACGAGGATGATAGGGGCTGTGGGGTTGTCAAGGCGGATGGACTGGAATACTGAGACAACGGTGGACTGGAGGTGGGTGATGGGGTGGTGGACCACCTCGCCGTAGTGGAAATGCTCGTAAGACCGGGCACGCTCACGGCCAAGAATGGCAAAGCAGTGAGATTGCAGACGGTAGTGAGAGGCGATGGTGTCGAGGTCGATTTGGCCTTGGTGGTAGTCTAGGAAGGGCCATGGCCATGAGCCATCCTTTGACGCCGTGGAGAGGGAGAAGACCGGTGGCAGGACGGAGATGCCGACTGAGGTGACACCCTGCGCTATCCCCTCGATGCCCTCCACATCAATGCCAATGCAGTAAGAGTGAGGCACCAGGGAGCGCAGATGATCAAGGCTGGTGATCTTCTCGGTGGATGACAAGCCTGGAGGTTCTGCCGGACTATCAAGACATGCCGTGGAAGACGGCGTGCAAGACTCGAACAATGGCGCACGGTGTGGTGTGCATGTGCGAGGTGGCGCTTGTGCACGGGATTGGGGGCCGGCGTCTAATTCGGAAAGGGAAAGCGAATCAAGTGACATTTGTGGGTGTTGATTGTGCCGCTAACGGTGGTCGGACTCGGGATGCTATTCGACTGGTGATGGTTTATCGATTCTATCAGACGGCAGAGTGAGCTGATGGGACGTTGTTGATGGTGTTGGCGGGACGTTGTGAAGTGACAGCTCAGCCAAACATGTGAAAATAATGAAGAGGGAATGTGAATGGGTTGGGTGAAGATGAAGATTAGGTTGAACAGTTAGTCACGCGGCCCGTACAAATATTGGAACTCTGCAGTCAGTGCCGCCCTACTACATCAGCCCTATTCTGTACAGCGCCCTTAACACCGCTGCTACTAGGGCCCACTGCGCTAGTGGCCCGATCCTGCCGTTTTAAGCGTGCTGCACTAACAATTTCGGACTCCACCCCATGGCCTACATTTCTCCAACACTTCGGATTCGAACCAAACACCAACTCGACATCCACGTCGCTGCAGCTTCCTACTAGCTCCCAACACACGGCATTTACCTGACTGGACATATTCTGTGAGTCTGTCGGCCGCACCAAGGGAAGACGACATGCATCTCGCAATGTGGCCTCAAAAACAATCCGAGATATCACCAGACCGAAGCTGTGCCTTCCGAAGCCTGATAACACCTACGGCAAAGCGGGCAAAGCGGGCAAAGCGGGCAAAGCCAGTTGTTCTTTTTCAATATTTCTGACCAACAAAGGAGAGGTGGACTGAGCACTGGGTCATCTGCATGTGGCAGACCCTTCACCATCCACATCGTCCCGTATCAAGACCTCACAATGTGACCGATTCACAAACCGCATATCTCATGAGCGGCATGGCAAACCCTCCACCACCCACCGCCATCTTTTTCTCAACGTTTTTGCTTTCCAGCCGAGACACTGTTTCTGGAACCCATCCATTCAGGTCATCACAAGTCCTGATAACATGCCTAAGCATGCCCGCGGCCCGAGACTAATCGGCCGTCAACGGTTGCACTACTGCTCCAGAGGTGCCGCGGCCCGGGACATTTGTTTCTCGCTTCTTTTGCGGCTGCATTGCAACCTCCGTTGGAAGCCACGAAGCCTCGCTATTGATGTCACGATGTTACCATGTAGACCGGACAGTGCGGACGCTATGCTACCTTGATGTTTGGTGATCACTGGAAGGGTAGGTATCGGGTGGAGGGTCGTTGGGTTGTCTCAAAGCTCGGACTCGTGCATGCCATGTGGAAGACAGTGCCTCAACCAGTTTTTGATGTTTACCGACGACCTGCCTTTGTTTGCGAGGGGCAACCTATATCTACTGTCCTCAGCCAGGGTCTCTTCCTCCGAGATCAAGTGCCTCTCCACTTCCCTGTCATTGTCATCACCAAGTACCGAGACTGATTTTATCCTGGACCACCGCCAACATGCCTCTCCCATCAAAGTCAAGCGACTTGATCCTCGTCCATCATAACCCGATTAAGGACTCGGATACTCAACTCACAGCCGACTCCCTCCGCCGGCTCAGCACCGTCTCGGCAGACTCAGACTATGAACTCATCCACTTTGGCGAAACCCAGGCAGAAGCAGAAGACGCCGTCTCCGACGATGACAATGCCTCCACAGCATCAGACAACTCCCACATCTCTCTGACTCCCGCCTTCTACCACCATCATATCTCCCCTTACGGCCGCCGCTACCACGGTTTCCAGTCTTCCTGCGGCTACATCCTTCCTAACGATCCTCCCGAACAGGATCGGGAAGACTTTCTCCACCTTGTGTCATTGGGCCTCACCTACCGCCGCCACTTTCTGTCCCCCATTGGCGACAACCTCAACAAGATTCTGGATCTCGGCTGCGGAACAGGCAAATGGACAGTGGAAGTCGCCGACAAGTTCCCGTTTGCAAAGGTGGTGGGGGTGGATTTGAGCCCGATTCAACCGGTGATGAGTCCGGAGAATGTGGAGTGGTGGGTCGATGATGTCGAGGATGAGGAGGAAAACTTCTTTGAGACAGAGGGGAATGATTACGACTTTGTACATGCCAGATACCTACTTCCCATGATAGTCGATCCGGCCGGACTGATAGGGAAATGCTTCGATCACCTAAAGCCAGGCGGCTGGATCGAAACACAGGACCTCCACCCTCGCATCAACTCTGACGACAATTCCATTCCCGCGAAGGAGACCTATCCGCCCGGGCAGTTCATGGACTTGGCAAACATAGCTTGGGCCCAAGCAGGCACCGACTACCGCATCACTCCCCAGATAGGAGAGATGATGAAAGAGGCCGGCTTCGTCAACGTGACATGTAGGCAGTTCAAGGTACCGCTGGGTCCATGGCCCAGGGATGAGTAAGGCCCCCTTTCCAACTTCATCCCCCGAAAGTCCACAGAAATCGGAAAAAGAAAGATTGCAGCTGACAGAATACGTGACAGGAGGATGAAGAATCTTGGAAATCTGATGAGGGCAGCGACGGAGGGGTTGGTACCCGCTATTATGGCGACTTCATCGATGAGGAAGTGTTTCGATGAGGAGGAAGTGAAAGAGCTACAAGACGGTTGTAAGAAGGCGATGAGCGATACCAAGATTCACGGGTATATGTGGATGTATTTCTGGTGTGGGCAGAAACCCCTGGTTGAGGAACAGACGGTGCCGATATGAAGGTCGAATACATGAAAGGATGGGGACGTTGAAGGCAAAGCAGACGGAAGACACATCGAGATTGAAGACCAGGGGACAAAAAGAGAGGAGGACATGAATGAGAAAACATCAAAAAGAATCGATCCACCCAGGGGTCGAACCTGGAACCTCCTGATTCGTAGTCAGACGCTCTGCCATTGAGCCAGCGGACCTTGATTGAGAGCAAGGTCGAAAACTAGTCCCTATGACGGCGAATGTGCACCCGCCGCAAAAGTTTTCAATGTCAGTTATCGGATGATGTTCGGCCGAACTTGGCGAGCACGTGGCGGGGTAAACAGGGATCTGTAAATCAGCGAGATCCATGACCCCACCTTGAGATCTCGACCCCTATCGGACGACATCTTCCATTGCCAGCTCGGAATCGGATGCTTAACGACGACCACGGAAGACAATACGAACTAACTCAAAGCCATGAATGAAGCGGTTGAACAACACCAGATCGGCCTCACCGACCACCGTTAGCGAGTGAAGAGAAGACCCCCGGGCGGGCCTCCACGGAACGCACACTACACATGAAGTGACCATGTGCACCAGAGGTAAGCGAGTGATCTTCATGGATCTACGGTCGTCGACAACCGAGGCAATTGAAGCGAAGCCAGTTTGATGAGAACGTAGCCGATGATAAGCGTCACGGTGTCAGGGAATACCTTTTACGCGTTCGCCAATGGCATCACACTTACAGTTACAGCGGACGCTGTCATTGTCCCCGTTCCAGTACGCATCTCGTACGAAGATGGACTGGACCCGACGCTGGAAACGCAAGATAAATTTTTTGATTTTGGCTGGAGCCGTGGATCCGTTACCGTCATCACCACGTTGTCCGCCGCGAATGCCCTATCGAGTTTCGCTGCAACCTGACGGGCATGCACCCCGGCCTTTATCGGCTGTCGTGTTACCCAACCCTGGATCTAGACTGGGCGGCGGCTTGCACAGCATCACCACCGGGGCAGCGACCGAAAACCTACCGGTAACTGGATATCATGTTCTCGAGCGTTCCCGCGCGCCCGGGTCGCCGTTCAAAGACGTTCCTGACATGGGCCGTTGGTCGTTGAAAATGGGTTTTGATAACACCGAACGAATTTCGGGTTCCGAGTTTTGAAGCTCGGAATGGCTCACGCGGAGACCGCGAAACAGAAACAACCTGACAACCTGACAACCCGACAGTGAACGGTGAGGAAGCCAGCTGAGACGTTCCAGGATGCAATGTCTCGAAAGAGTCGACGGTGCCTCGGCGTCACTTGGGTGAGCCAATGAATGGACAGCATAATCGATGGACGCCGATCCTAGACCACGCCAGCTTGGAATCCGGGGGAGGATATCCGGTTATGATCAACGCTTCCCCATGGGGATCTCCGCACCGCCTCCAGTCCTCATCTTGGACCGGTTGATCCCTCAACCCCTCACGGACTGGACACATCGGTCACTCAGGCAGCTCGGATATAATATAAACAACTGGACCCCCCTCATGCCCCTTCTCGAACCAAAGCAACAACCTCACCACCAAGCATCACAAACAACCGCAGACAACCCAAAGGGAACTCACCAACATGGCTCCCACTCCAGATCTCAACGTTCCCCCCTCTCCCTCCACCGTCTCGGTGTCCATCATCAACTCAACCGGCACCCTCCACGGCGTGCCCGCCAAATCCTTCTTCTCCCCTCCCCAGCATGGATACGACTGGATGGCAGCCCCCATGTTCGCCTTCCTCATCCAGCACCCTACCACCGGCCGCTCTCTCCTCTTCGACCTCGGCATGCGCAAAGACATCGAGAATATGCCTCCCAAGTTGCTTCACCACTTTGACGAACTCGGGTGGACTTTGTCAGCGGAGAAGAACGTTGCCGATATTTTGAAGGAAAACAACTTTGATGTGTCGAAAGTGGAAGCGGTGGTGTGGTCTCATTACCATTTCGATCACATTGGCGATATCACCACCATCGGGCCGCAGGCGGCCTTGATTGTCGGACCGGGGTTCAAGAAGGGGTTGATGCCAGGGTACCCAGCCAACCCGGATTCTCCGATTCTAGAATCGGATTACAAGGATCGGGAGTTGATCGAAGTGGACTTCACCTCGGCCGCGCAAGACGGCAAAGACTGGAAACGCCTGCAAATCGGCCGTTTCCCAGCAGTGGACTACTTCGGCGACGGCTCTTTCTACCTCCTCGACGCCCCCGGCCACGCCATCGGACACATGTGCGGTCTCGCACGGGTGACCTCCCAGCAAACAGACGGATACGACAGCTTCATCTGCCTAGGCGGCGACGCCGTTCACCACGTCGGCGAGATCCGACCCTCAAAATTCAAGCCTTTGCCCGAGGAAATCTCTCCCAACCCGTTCCTCCCTGTCTCGGCCGGTTGCGACAGCAAATGCCCCGGCGCGGCGCTCCAGAAGCTGCTTCCTAACCCCGAGCTACCGACCAAGAGCTTTTACGAAGCCGCGAGGGGAGAGCCCTGGCATCATGATGTGGAGCAGACGATCGATACGGCGGGCAAGTTGCAGGAACCTGACGCGCTGGATAATGTGTTTGTGGCGATTGCGCATGACGAGTCGTTGTTGGACGTGGTGGATTTCTACCCGAAGACGATGAATGAGTTTGTGAAGAAGGGGTGGGTACAGAAGGGCCATTGGAGGTTCCTTCGGGACTTTAGGGATAGTTTGACGAGCAAGGAAGAGAGGGGGGGTGTTGAGACGGTGGAGTGGCCGCATAATAGGACTTGGGGACGCGTTGAGAAGAAATCGGCTTAGATATTGTCGTAACAATTTTGTGTGTAGTACTGGAGCATAGATGTTAGTGTCCTATACCCCTCACCCTTTCGTTCGTGGATCCAGACGAAGTGCATTCCACACATCAACATCAGGCTCAACGACATACTCAACTAACAAAGACTCAATTTGGTATTAACTGCCAAGGAGAAATAGACTCCGTCCCCCTTTTGACTCAGACAAGAAAGACGCATAGATGTAGCTATCAAACCCTCAATTTTACCGATAAAACACCTCCAGTCGTTTCCATGCCAGAAGAAGCATTTACAGGCCATCTCCCCTTATAGCGGAAGCACAGTCTTTCCAGATTCCTGTACCACCCATTACCGGACTATACGTTCGCACGCCTAGGATTGCCCTACAGACACTGCGAATAATAATCATTCTGATACCGACACGCACTCCCGCTTGCGCAAGTCTTGCACCCATTCCAGTTCTTTCCGTTGCACTGGCCGTACTTGGCGGTTGTGCAGCTGCTTGGAGGGTTGGCGGGCGGGTTATTGGCGGGTGGGTTACCCCCTACATACTTGTTAACATCAAGACTAGAACAAACACCACTCCTGTATAGAAGGGGGAAACGGGGACAGGATGACGGTTAGAAGGAGAAGATGACGAATGGGTCGGAGAAGGGAAGGAGGTAGCGGAGGAGGACGGAGCGGAGGCTGAGTAAGGTAAGCTGGGTGATGAGGTTGAGGAAAGAGAGGACAGTGGGAACAAGGACGGGGTGAGCCGTGAGACGACCTAGGAAAAGGATACGGCTGTGTTGTGAACTGAGCGGGACGTGGAAAAACCTACCGTTTGGATTGCTAATAAGCACCGGAGTCCCCAGTTTCGTCGTTTCGTCGATACTGCAAATATTGGCACAACCATTTTTGTTTCCCGGTCCAGTCACAGGTCCAGCTGCCTCCGTACTATTATAAACCATCTCAATCCACTGCACCTGCATCTCCGCCTTTCCCCCCTGCCCCATAACGCCCGACCAGCTGCCCCCATCGCTCCAGACATTGAACATCACCTGGCTCGGATCCCTCGGTGCCTGGAAGCTTATCTTGGTAGCCTCCACGCCGTTCACAAACCATGTTGATTGCCCAGGCGTCCAATCCATCCTATAAACTGCCCAGTCGCTCCACTTCTTCCCACTTGGCATGGACGCGTTCCTCGTCGCCTCTTTGATGTCACTAGTGCTATTCCAAGATGGTTGATTGGTATACTGGACATAACTAGGCGGATCCTGCGTGCGAATCTCCAGATCGGCTTCCTGAACCAAGATGACTTGTTGAGGCTGAGGAGGAGGCCGGTAGGTGAACATGGCTGTTACTGCGCCCGGAGAGCCGCGGGTGCGGGCGAGCATGCGCAGGGAGAGAAATTGGTAGGATGTGAGCATGGATTCGAACTCGGCAGAACTTTGGAAGCCAGAGCCATTGCCAGAGGGCGTGGAAGGGCCGCCGAAGGAGTGCCGAACTGTTCGCATCACCAAGTATGTTTGCCCATTAGCGTTCGAATCAGAAGAGCGCTCGATGTAGATGTTGTTGAACGAGTTGACCATTGGCACTGTGGCGTCGTTGACGTCGGTGTTGTTTAAGCGCATTAGTTCGGTATTATTCCAGGTCTGGATGCCCCAGTTGTCTTTCCATTGGTTCGAATCGAAGTAAGAAGAAGTCGGAGGGGCGGCAGCGTTTCCCTCAAATGTGGAAATTGGGTTTGGCGTTTTGGCGTATTGTTGGAGGTTGCGAAAGTCAAAGAACTTGTGTCGGCGAAAGTAGTTTGTGGAGGTGGCGTTGGTTCTGTAGCAGTGGCAGTTGGCGTCGGTGGTTAATGGGTAAGCTGCTGAGGTGAGGTTAGTGAGATAGCCGGTCATGACCAAAAGGCCCCAAGGCCATGTAGTTGTGGTCACCATGGCTGGATTTGGTTGATGAAAGAAAGAAAAGGCTTGGCAGTGCAATGGTCCAGACTCCTCAGGTTGGCGATAACGGGGGATGCGAGAGAAAGAAATATCTGGAGACGGACTGGGGCTCAACTAGGCAAACGGGATCATCAGTTACCACACTGGCGGCCATGCATCATTACGGTTCCGAACATTCCAGATCAGGTCGTCGAAATTGCCAGGTTTGGACACATAATTTGGGCCAACATCTTGAACAGTGACAAAAGCAGTCAAAGGAAGCACTCGCCCCAAAAGTTGGTTGTGTAAGGAAAGGGAGGCAACAAATAATGGGGAGGGAAATCAAAGGAAAATTACAATGACACACAAGGGCAACGGTCCAACAGATCCAACCTTCGGCAGTCGTTTGGTGACACGGGCTGCTGGGACGGCAGAAATTCTCATTTGCTCGGGACTCGGAGAGCATATCGACAGTTGTGCCTGTTTGCGTGTACATCCAGATTAAATATTTAACCGTACGGGTTATATGCTCAGGCATATGTTATATCCTCAGGCATATGGACTGGGGTGTATAAGCCGGGGGAATGACAGCAAGTCAACGGGAATGAGGTTCGAGAGCAAGGAGCTTGCGCAATCCAAGGTCGATATATTGGGGTATCAAGTTTTGTATGGAATACAACAAAGCCAATCTGAAATGGATCGTTACATTGGCGTGGTTGGCCCAGGCAGCCCTTGCCGTCCTCTTCGTCTCCACCACTCACCAGAAGATATGAGATGAAGAGGTAACAGCCGAAAAGTGAAGAACGGCTGCGAGGCAATGCCATGTCTGCCGAACGGGTTGATGCGGTGATGAGATATTGACTCAGACCCCGATGCTGCTCTGTACAGACAATCACCTGTCTTCGTCTGGTGAGAAGTTGGATGATAACTAATGTCCTCGCCGTATCATACGGCTCTCCCCTTCGGTATTCCGATTCCTGACAGGGTTATCTGACAATGCCGAAATGCGACGGGCTACCATCCCAGCCACAGCATACTCAAAACAGATACTCATCCCATCGATCTTCATGGTACGCATAGAAAAGCTCATCGAAGCTATGCCCATGGTCCTCTCCCAACCGTTGCATGAATGCCGCAAATGTAGGAGGCCTCCGTGCTTCGCGTTCCGGATCTTCTTCCTCGTCGCCGGAAAAGTAGTATTCGGACGCTTCATCCTCTTCTTCAAGCTCAAGTTCGGTCTCTTCTTCAAAGCCTCCATCGCCCACTTCGGGTATCATGTCCCCTCCGTCCTCGTCTTCAAAGTCACCCTCGTCCAGGGGTTCAACATCATCCTCATCCTGATAGGAAGGGAACAAGTCGAACGTCCGAAAGGTGATGCCTGCTCTCAAACAGCGCAGCCTTGTTTCCTCGACTTCTCTGTTGAAACGTCTGTGGAACCTGCTTTTTGCAGGCCACGAGTGAATGGCCAACGATATGCTCGATAGCTTCGGTGACTGGGTAGCGCAGAGGCAGGCTACGCCGTGCAGTATCATGTCGAGGTTGGCGAGATAGCTTTGCTTCCAGTCTTTAGCAGTTCCCCACTCGCACACCAAGGTGAAGTCACGCAGTGATGGCGGAAGCAGCTGACATAGCCTCTCACCGTCATCTTCCTCGAGAATCCCCAGGGTGCCGAAAACGCCTCGGTAGTCGAGGGTAAGGCTCTCAAGCCGTCCAAGATGTGGGATACACTTGAGTCGGTGATTCTCTGGTTTCCTCGGACGCTCTCTCCCGCGCGTAAGATAATGGCCCTCCGATAAAGCAACCAACTCGAGGCTGCGCAGCGAATCCGATAGACCGGTCAGGGCAACATCAAGGGTTTTCCCCTCGGGCAACAAGTCCCTGTCATCGTCCGTGGTGCTCTCTTCGAAATGGACAAGTAGATCCTGTAGGTTGGTACATGCCAGACATAGCGCAACCAGCCTCGGCTCATGGATGCGGCTGCCGTATAGACGAAGCTGTTGGATCTGGGGAAGTGGAGGTATCGTTATGTCTTCGTAGAAGAGGTTCGACGCCGAGGAACAACAAAGCTCGAGGGTTTTGAGATTCTTGAGATCAGGTAAGCAAGCAATGGTATAGTGCGAGAGCAGCTGAGGGAAACTTGCGTCTCGACTCGGCTGTTCGTCTCTATGGCAGTAGATGCGCAGAGAAGATAGGTTGCGCATCTGGTGAAAGGGAAAGTACCGCGCGACGAAGGTCTGTCGATGGTTGACGGGTTCGGGGGAGTTCATATAGCTCAATATAGTGGCGCGGAAGGCTGGGAGTAATACGTCGTTGGCGGTGGGGTCTTGGAGTTCCTGGTTGGGTAAGGGGTGGTCGGGAAAAGCAAAGAGAAGGTCTCTTAGGTTGGGGGCGTGCCAAGTGATGATCATGAGGAGCTCCAAGCCGATGGAAGCGGGACTGGCGCCGGGTTGGCCCTGCCATCTCACTGGCGGCGGTTAGAAGGTGAACAAAGACCCAAGCACCGGGATCCAGATATCCTACCTCCAGTTTGTCTTGACCATTCTCGATGTATCCCCATGATCATGCTAGTGCCAGTGATATTGGCCATGCATGTGATATGGCGAATCCAAGGCTTGATCTCCGGATGCTTGATCATACGCAGATACAGTGAGACGAGTGCCCTTTCGTTGTAAATGAGGATATTCCGCCAGAGAAGCGGTCTGGCGACGGCGAGCATGCGATGGGAGGTCTGGGCGAAGGTAAGCAGCTCACGGTGGGCGAGATGCCATGCCGCACGCTGGTCCTCTGCTTCTTGACTGGCCCATGTTCCGACGGGACGAAGGGCGAAGCGGGTGGTCAATGGAGGTTGCGGGACGAGCGCTTCGGCTATGGGCTGTAGCAGTTCGTTCGGTAGGCGCTCGAGGGAGGCCGTGAAGTTTTGCGCGGGCGCGGCCATGGTCGTTCGGGTCTCGTGTGTATCGAAGCCGGAAGCTGTCGAGGAAGGAGATACTAGAGTATCGCTCGATGGAGGATGGGATGAACGAGTGGTTCGGACCACAGATCGATCGGATGTTGCGAAGGGGTAGCTAGCGTTAAGCTTAACGAGAGACGGAGACCGGGCTGATGGCGGCGGCGGTGCTAACAAGTGGAATTGGGGAGAATGATATGTGGAAGTCGGAATCGGAGCCGCATCCTGTCAGTTCTTTCTGATGTGCAATTGCGAGGTTGAACTCGACAAAGAGGGAGAAACGAAAACCGGACTCGAGGTCGACAAGAGGCAGGAGGTACTTGAGAAAAGTACACTTGTACCTTCCAGGTTGTACGCGGTCGTACGGACGGACCAGGACCAGCTGATCGTCAAGACCCGGAAGGAGTCATCGGCAACATCAACATCCATGCGACGCCGGGATTTGTCTGCAACCCGGGCAGCCGACGGGCGGAAAGAGCGATGCAATGTGGAGGGTTGGAGCTTTGGAGGGGTTTCGACACGGGGCCGATGACCGATGTGGATACGCGCCGGCGGGAATGGATTGAGACAAGTGTGGATCGATGATGGAGGGGTCGACTCCAGTCTCGGACTTTCTACCGACGGAGAAAGGGGCAAGTGTCGCTCGCTCGTCCTGTTCTTTGCTGCCTGGCCGCGTTTCCTTTTCGTCAACAACCATCCACAATTGGATTGCTTCACTCTTCGAAGTCGTCAACTGTTTACGTAGGCCACACTGCAGTCATCGTCTCCTGCAGTGTAAGACAGGCAGGCAGCATGGACGGCGAACCACCAATCGGCAAGACGCTTGAATCTGACCCCCTCGGTATGTTCCGACCTCGGCGTTAGCATTGTTTAGGACCTCGTTTCGACCTTGTTCTCTTTCCCTTCTCGTTCTGGAAAGAGTGACGAAATGGGAAGCTGCCCAACACCCATATATGGTGTCAGACGGACAAACGAGCAAGAACTGGGCCGACCGGTCACAACCAGGTACACCGCATGTCACATTGTTCCTCTTGGTGTTTGCTGGGCATTGATTGATCCTGTAAATGGACAGATAAATGGATAACGAATCCAGGAAAAGAAGCTCACAACGTCGCCGAACAAAGTTGATGAAAAGACGAAACCCACATCCGTTGCCAAAGGGATCACGGTTCACGGCAGGCCATGCAACCTTCTTTTTTGAATTGCGGGGCGAATCCACTTTGGTGACTTTCTGAACGTCCACCGGTCCCAAGGAAAATCCCCTGTTGACGAAAACGAAAAAACGATAGAGGTAGGCGCGAGCATGTTTCATTCAACATCTTTGTCTTTCAGTTCATGACTCGAGCCGGCTTGGTTGGGAGAGCCATTACGCCCTCCGAATTACTGCCAAAAAAGACGGCTGCAGTTCATTACGTCAAGTTTTCCCTACACGAGCTGAGACTCCAGTCTGACAAGGGCAAGGCAAACAGGGCTGTCGGGATGTTGCGACATCGCTAGCTCGTGCTCTGGCTGGATATGGTCCGTGCACTCTTCCTCCTACGGTGTAAAGTACTTGTATCGCGGCCCAGACGGCCTCCGACGCCTGTCAAACGGACGGGCATCATGCCGGCTGCTGGTGGCTGCTGGCCAAGGACCCAATTCCTGTTCACCGCACTCTGGGTCGCCAGCGATATTGAAACGACCCGGTCGGAATCGAAATTGCAATTCGCTGAAGAAAGAGCAGCCGCCAGATCCAGGCGACCATTCAAAGCCACCAGATCCGATCCGTGGCCATCAAGGTGTCCCATTTCGTGTTTTGGTCCTTCCTCATACAACCAACTTCGGCCTCCGGGTGTTGCATCCGCACCTGCCATCCTCCCAGTGAGGCACGTGTGAGGCCACACTGAATCTGGACATCAAATTTCTGAAGCTGGCGACTCCATCAGACCACTTTAAACCATTATGCGCTCTTGTTCTTCCTGCATGGAGTGGACTTGGCGATGTCCATTGCAATCAATAATCTCAGCTTCTCAGCTTCTCACCTGCCATCTTGGGATGAACCACTGTTTCGCTGTGGAACGCAACGCGCTCTAGCAATGGTGTCAAATTCCACTCGAGGACCGACGACACCGCGATGCTGATCATGCAGTGGCACTAGGTATGAAGTGCTCCCGTGCGGTGGATGGTTGGCTACGGAACCTGGACGGCAAACCTCTGATCACCCTGGTCTTGGGCATGCGGCTCTTCCGCCGGCAATGACACCGGTCAAGTGGGGCATTTCCCCTCCGACACGGACCCACGAAGCCCCGATCCGCTGCCCGGGCCGAGTAGACTCAACTGGCCCGCCATTCAGGGGTAAACATCCAAGTATCACAGGGCTTCATCCACTCTGCCGTACTGCTAGGAGCGTCGTTGCTAACAACGATTCTCCCAGCAGGTCATTCTACAACCAGCAACCCAAGTCAACCCGGACTGTCCTCGATAAACGAACCGATACTACCAATATGCGCGTCTTGCCAACCCGAAAAGGCTAGCTGGGTAGTCCCAAAATGCTCCCTGCGTAGTCCCCCCCACTTTTCTGGCCGCGCAAAAACTTACACAAGGCGCATCACCAAATCCTCGTTGTTTGGAGTTGTTTAATGTCTTTAAGTTGAGGATGTTGATATTGTTGAAGTTCTTCGAGTTGGTATTGGTATCGCCCCCTGTTGTAGATGAAGAATTGGAAAAAGTGGGATGCACTTCGTTCTCGACAAACTAGACAAGAGAGAGCAGGTCTACGATCCATCTGAAGACCAACAGACCAAGAAGCGAAAGCATCGTAGCGGATCATACCTCTAGGGAAGCTGCAAACGACGCAACAACGATCCCATTGATAGTGATAGTGGCATTGACAATGACAACGATAGTGAAAGCCGCCGAGATGGCGATAGCTTCAGAAGAGCGCGGTTCGCGAATGCACTTGGCTGGTCAGGTTGTTGGGCGAGGTTCCCTTGGGAGCCAGAGATTGGCTGCACGCCCAAAACAAGTGGGGGGGACTACCCAGGGAGCATTTTGGGACTACCCAGCTAGCCTTTTCGTTGCCAACCAATACAAAATCCATCATCGCATGTCATGTTCGGTTAGGAGTCCCGTCTGGGGTAGGATCGTGCCACTGTACAGCCCGCTACGCCACAACCAAACGGATACGCTAGACCAGTGCAAGCCGGGGTCAATGGCTGTGAGGCTCTCTGCAAGGTTTTTATCTGTTTATGGATGTGGCACAATGCTGTCGTGGTTGCCATTTACCGGTGCCGATTATCCGATTCTATGCACCAAGCCTTCATGAATGGCTCGAAGAAATCATCGTCCGATGATGGGAGACGAGGGCCCGGATTAATGCTTCACCTGCCCTCGGCGAGTACGATATGGATGTGGGAATGGCGTATCATAACCTCACGGCGTAGGAGGAACACCATACTGGAACATCAAAATGAGCAAGGTCAACACAGTAGCAACCATGTTCCATCGACTCAATCATCAGGGCTATGGTTGCGGGTAAGTGCATACAATTAAGATTATCGAGACCAGCGTTGACTGACAACAGCGTAACATACCCTCCTCCGACCATCATATACAAGCAACCGAGAGAAAAGAAACAGCCCTTTCACACTCGCCACTACCCCCCCGGTATTAAGTCCTCCGCGTTGTTCAACGCATGCCTTCGCATCGCACACACTCGAAAGACAACGTCGACTGGACACGATCAATGAAACACTTGTCAACAACGAATCCTTCTCCGAATTCTTCCCCGAAATCTTCACTCTCTTTACCACCGGCTCGGTGTCGTAACCACTGTTCCAACGATCCACCTCGCATCAACCAATATCCCATCGCTACAGTCTAGAGCCTCACCCCTCTCAAGGAAAAGTAGCCAGGCGTCATTCGGCAGCACAACAAGTTTCGGCAGCAGCACGAAAGCTCGTCGCGCACGCCCGGGACGATGCGAATTTAGACACGAGTCCCGTTCGTCGCGTTAGTCGCATTCGGAGCACCTGTTGTAGCCCCAGGATTAGATGTCAACGGCGCTGAACCCTTTTCTCCATCGCCAAGTCGGCTACCGGTGGTACCGGGAGAGGACCGACGGGAGCGGAACCACATCAGACTCTCGGCCACGACGGATGAAAGGAGGGAAGTGCTGTTGCCCGGACATATCAGCCTCACATCTCTCCCATTATTGACTGGGGAATGACTCACAATCCCACAATATTAAAAGCCTGCACCGCATGCTTCAAGCGACAGTGCCCTATGTACGCAGGGCTGTGGTAGTGGCACCTGTGGCCGCTGTAGTCTTGGGAAGAAAAGATGAGGTTGGTCAGCCACAGATAGGAGAGGGCGAGGTTGAGCGGCAGGAGGTAGCCGCGATAGCCCTTGAGGGCTGGAGCGAACACGGCGAAGAGGTAGAGGAAGAGGGTTACCACGGCCTGTTCTGTTATCAGCATTCTTTTCCGCTACCTATATGGGCAATTGTAGCAGAGGAGGCGAGTAAGGGACTCGAGAGGATGGAATACTCACGATAACCTCCTGAAAGATGACGTGCGTGCCGCGCTCATGGAATTTGCGGATGAAGTGAGCCAAAATGCCCGTAACAATGGCCGAGGACGACAAAATCAGGACGTTATTCAGCGAAAGCCATGTTCGGAGGAGACGCTGGACTGTGTCGGTGGCGCGCTTTCTTCCTGCGGAGTCCATTTTGACAATTTTGCCAATATTACTTTGCCGACGGCGGGTAGAGTGCTAACTGATCACAGTTTTTCGGGGGGATGGAAAGCTCCTGGGTTAGGCAAGGGTGAATGAGAGTTGGCGACAAAAGAATCTCGGTATTGCAGGAACACTAACCGACTACTGAAAAACTGGACGGCGAAACGACCAAAATAACGCCGACTTGAGAGTTGCAGAAGAAAAGAACTAGCCAACGCAAGAACCTCATGGGATCCATTATATACGGACATCGATGGCGTTCATGGTGCTGTCATAGGGATGACGTTGGGAGGGGTGAATTGCTGTCCGCCATTGTACGCTCCAACGCCAGATCAGGACCATATCACCCACCATCAACCTTGAAAAGTCGGGGGATAAGTCCGACCGCGGGAAAAACATGAGAAGCTCAAGCACCGGTCATGCTGTGAAGTACGGTCAAATGATGGACGTGGAGGTGCACAATAAGCCTACAGTCTCCCTATAGAAGCCGTATGTTGGACTTGATGCACAGACGGCTTGGACATCTTGGGTCCAGCATCCACGCAAGACAAACGTCATGATAGCGTCCTGAAGTCGGGCAGCTCAATTACCCATGGCTACGGTAACGATGCCATCATTGTTCCCATCGTATCGGAGGGAAGGTCCGCTTTGGTCCCTTATATCAATTTCCGTTCCCGGTCAACAGACTTCACAGACAAGTCAACGACCGATCACCGACCAGCCCGACTTCTCATCTCTGTACTGTCCTTGGAGAGAAGTACAAAGCAAACGTGATAGGCTTGAGGATTTATCTCAGCAACATGATGCTCATTCCAGGTGCGATCGTTCATGAACATTCAACGAATCTAAAAGAAAACGGCCTAGCCAAAGGGGCAACACTCGGACTGGTATGGGACATGAGATGCTTCGTGGCTCAGGCCAACTTGAAGCCACAGCTGGAAGCCTTCATTTTATTGATCTTACAAGCTTGACAAACCCCACGCTATCAAGCGATATCAAGAACAAGAACACAACAATGACCTCCGCATTTCCCCACTGATCACCTTTCCCACGACGCCAAGATCAACGAGTCCAGTCCCGACTCTCACAGGCTGAGACAGGGCCCTCATTCTCCGCCGATCAGCGCTCCTTTAGGGCTGGAGCGGAGGAACTCTGCCCCCCTGTCAGGTACATGCTAGCGCTGTATCATCGCCGCAGGGCAGCTCTCAGCCGCATCGCCTGTCTTCTATTCTTCTTCACGTCAGCTCCTTTGCGTTCCCTTGCATGGTGAGAAAGTTTGGAGTGGTCGTGTCCAAAGGCGAATCAACGTGTCGTGCTACACGATCGTATGGTTTGGCGGCCTTTTCAAGTCTCGAACTGCAACCAAGAACCATGATGGACGAACCGGAGTCTCTCCGCAAGAGCGGTCTGGATTACGGACGCAAGACAAGGGCTGGGCATCCTCCACTCGTCAATGAACTGGCGGTCGAAGATCGACGGTGAGACGCTAAACAGAGCGGTGATGGAGAGCTTGCGGAGCTTGGCCTTACATTTTGAAGACATTCCGATGTTTGAGATGCACTTAAAAGATTGAGTGGCCGCTGTTTGTGTGTTGAAGCATATCCACGACTTTTGGCAGGCCCAACGTTGAAGTTTTCCCAGTAGCCTCATCACCAACGACGATACATCATCATATTAAACAATCAGTCATCCTACATCTAGAGCATCATCAAATCTTGGCCAACGGCGTCCATTCAAGGTCTCTTAAGTCCAACAAAATGGACTCCAGATCAACAACACCAACGCCATTTCCGACCCTCCAGGTCCAACACAAACAAACATCAACCACAGACCACAAGACAACATCGTCACCGCCTAAGCCACCATCCCCGTACGGCAGCCTTCAATGGACTCAATACCTTCTCCGTCTTTTCACCGTCCTCACATCCGCCGCCCTTCTAGCCCTCACGGTCTTCATCGCGGTAAAATGGGGACAAGAATACATGGAGAAAATATACGCGGTTATTATGGCCGGGGTAAGTTCCCTTCTCTTCCTCCCCTTCCCTTATCAGCTCCTATCCGACTACGCCTGTTGCAGAGTGAAAACTAACAGTGGGGAAACAGGCGGTGATAGCAATCATCACAGACCTCGGCACTATTTACTTCCTCTTTGTCAGGATGTCACAAACCTCGACGCCGGTAGCCATCGCTGTCCTTGATGCTGTTGCGCTAGTCATGTGCGCAGTGGGCATCCCAAGTGTGATGGGAAGTGAGTTCAAGACGGTGTATGACACAGCTGTGTGGGCGTTGGCGGTGGTTGTAATGTACGTTTCCATCCGTCCCCCTTCCCCTTCTGACGGTTGGAAGCATCAGATGGCTAACGATGGCCCGGAATTATAGCGTCGAGAGGGCCGCATCGATGGCTACTTGCCTTTGGGTTTGGATTTTTATCAGGAGAAGAAGCAACGAGGGGATGAAACCTGTTATCTTCAAGCAGGAGATGGGCTCGACTTCCGAGTCTGCTTTGGCGGCGAGGAGACGGGGGAAACAGCCTGCCGGCCAGGGGGCCGCGATGGCCGGGGCAGATGCTGGGGCTCCGACTGGGGAGTATTTGCATCCTGAGAGTGCGAGGGCATCATCGGTTGGTGGTGGGAGACCCAGCTTAGTGCTTGCAGGAGATATGTCGGGGAGAGCAAGCTTTCCTAGTATTTTTGTGGGTGGAGAGGATGCTGATGATCGAGTATGAAACCTGCTCTCACAACACCCTGGCTTGTCTCCAGATTCATTCATCTGAAAGTCCAATGATACAAGTCCATCAACATTGCAGCGAGTACCTACTATCACCGGCTGGAGGCTGTCATAACGAGAAATGGCCTGGGATCCTCTGTTGCCTAGGTAATCGGGAAGCCAACTCACTGTGTACCTCTATCAGTCCATCTGGTATGCATTGTTCCCCGGCCCAGCGGTCTTCATGTCTGCTGGAATGAGGTTCTATCGTCCCCGGGCTATTGAGATCCTATTGAGATCCAAGACCCGTTTATGCTTCCGAGTGGTTTCGGGGTTCTTTACCACCCTAGTGACCAGGCCCCGGTCTACATCCTAGTACAACGCCACAGCGGGATTGTCCTTGAGGCCGGAAACCCCTGACGACTAGGCTGCAAATCAACCAATGCCTACAACAGCATCGGGATGTCACTATGGGCTGGCTTTGTTTTTCAAATTTAGAATTTCAAGACAATGTTCCCTCGATGTTTAGACCCTGGAAATTCAGTCACGACCTGTAACCACAAAGATGAATAAGAATTTCCTATTGAGATATTTGTGACAGAGGCATCCATGACATGTTAACTGGATAAGTAGTGCATGTTTGCTGGCGTCCAGTCTTCTTGTCAATCGACACGTTACCGACCATCACAATCTCTTCGCCTTCGAGTCTGCAGCACTTCAATAACAACAGTTCCACAGTTAACACCACCCTAAAATAGGCAAAATGCGAACACCTTATCAATTTGTCTCCTGCGTAGCCGCCATTCTGGCCGCCAGCACCGTCACCTCCCTCGTTCTCCCCACAGATGGCTCCTCCTTGGATAAAGCCCCCGATGGAAGGCCAACCACCCTCCCCAGAAACATCGCCACCCGCGACGACGCGGTCTCGGACAACACCACCCTCCACAACGACCCTTTCTTCTACATGGCCTCCGTCGATGACGACGACGACGAAATCCCAGACCAAACCGACCTCGTCCCCCGCTGGGGCCCCGGCTCTCCTCCCGACAAAGACGACCCCGCCAAGGTATACTGCAAAGACTTTGAAGCGATCACGGACGAAACCAGCGAGGACTCGCCGTTGATCGACGACTGCCTGTCAATCATCCCCAACATCCAGCCTCCGGAACACGCCGCCGATTGGAGGTTCATGGTCGGACAGACCCGGGTCCTCGTCAGTTACAAAACCTGTGTGTTGGCGGTGTCGGCCAATGATGGTGTTGCGAAAGGACAGTGGATTCAAGTGGGTAATGTGGATGTCATCGCTGTGATCCAAGAGTTGGCGTCGATAAGGGGAAAGAAGACTAATAATCCTAGTTTGGTGCCGGGCAGGGGTGAAAAGATGGGAGGCAAGACCAGTGGAAAGTGTATGATGAGAGTATTGAAGAAGCCATCTAAGACGGAGTTTTCCATCTACCATACATAGAGGTAATAAGCGAGCATGGACTGGAGTGTGGAGGGCGAGGGAAGGGGAGGAGTTCTGTTCTGTCTCTGGCTGTCTGGTGGATGCCATCACAATTGGACCGATGTCGAGGGGATTCAGCGGGGACTACGATAGTTGTACTCCGTTTGAAGATACATTAAATTCATGTTTCATACATCTGCACGAGTGTCACTTGGTGTGCCTGTGGTAGAAGGTAGCTGACGGGAAGTCTGATGCAGAAGATCAAAACTTTGGTGGAAGCGAGACAAATCAGCAGATAATAGATAATGCTAAATCCAATTAAACTCCATGACCCCTTTCCAGCCCATCCATCCATGTCCATTCCGATTCCTTTTGGTATCATCAAAAAGTTAAGGGGGTATAAGTGCAGGTGAACGTGTGACAGCTAGTACAAAGAAAAACATGAGGCCATATCAAAACCACATCCCAACATTACCTCATCCCTCATTCATACCCACCACCTCTCCTCTGCCTCGCATACCCATATCCCTGTCCCCCCTGCTCCTCCAACTCGATCCCACCGTGTCCACCCCCATGCATCGCCCGATTCCTCTCCAACGGATTCCCCAAAACGCCCTCGTGATAGATCTCCTTCTCCACTTGTCTCATATCAACATGTCCCACGGCATTAACACCATCAAAGATGCGTGCAACTTCTTCCAGAGTCGGCCCTTTTGTCTCGACGTAGAACAAGTAGACAAAAGTCAGCTCCAAGCAGTTCCATATGGTGTAGAAGAGAGTAAAGTTCCAGTGGTGGGGGAGGTTATCCCAGGCTAGTTTGTTGGTTTGGCTTGGAGGGGTTAGCATTCAACCCGTTGAAGGCATAGCGGCACAAGAGGGAGGAGAGCGGGAACAGAGGAACAGAAGCAAAGTGGGTAGTGGGAGGTGGTGATGTTGAGATGGCAGAGGAAAGAATGAGTAAATAAGGTAGGCGAAGGCAAGAAGAAGGTGAAGGAAGGGGCCGCCGGAGTGATCATGAATAGAATGTGTTGATGAGATAAATGGAGAAGGGTAAGAAGGGAAAAAGAGGAAGAAAAGAACTCACTTGGAGATGGCAAGCACAGCCTGCACCGTGATATTCATCAACATCATGCCCTTCGCCCTCAAATGGAACGGCAGGACCTCCAACGCATACGCCACCAACAGTCCTGAAAACCCAATATCGTAAAAGATACCGAAGATCCAGATGAACACCAACTGTGTATAGCCACTGGTCATGTTTGTCTCCCCGCTATACTCATACACCGCCCCTGTTGCCGTCCAGCACGCAAAACTCACGACCATACCGCACGTCGATATTAAGAACAGCGGCCTGCGTCCAAACCGGTCGACATTGAGCGCGGCAAAGATGGTGACGATCAGATCCAGGATGATCTTTCCTGTCGAGATGGCCAGCTTTTGGCTCTGCTCCGTTATCCCTGCCCCGCCGTAGATAGCATTCATGTAATTGCTGAACAGGGCATTGCCGGAGTACTGGCTAATGACACCCAGCGAAATAATAATAGCCAACCGCCACCTATTTCCTTTGGTCCTGATGAAATCGACATAGCTCGACGCCTCATCCAGCTGCTTCTGGATGCGAATCGTCTCTTTGATCTCGCGAAACTCGAACTGCACTGTTCTGTTGAGCCTATCACCGCCGGCATGCCACTTGGCGAGGATGTCGAGGGCTTCATCGTGGCGTTCCTTGTCGATGAGATAGCGTGGGGATTCAGGAAGCCACCAAATGCCCGCGAGCTGGACGGCCGAGGGCAGAATCTGCAGGAGCGTGATGGAGCGCCAGGACCAGTTGGAGGCAATGTTGGACGTGCCCCAGGCTATGCACGACACCAAAAGCGCGCCGGCATTCCAAAGACAGTTGTAGATGGCGGTGACGGGGCCGCGATGTTGCGGGTGGACGATCTCGGTGAGGAGGAGGGGGGAGGCCATTTGTGCGAGTGAGTTGCCGAAACCGAGGAGAAAGCGGCCACCCATGTACACTGTCATTGTTAGTAAACTCCCTGAAGGAGGTGAGAAAAGAGGGCACATACTTCCGTAACCGTTGCAGAAACCTGTTAGGAGTCCGCCAAAGATCATGAGGATACACCCAGCTACGATGGAGGGTCTTCGTCCATAATTATCGGCCACGTATGGGGTTATGAAGAAGGAAAAGATCGAGCCGATGTTGAACATGTTGATCAAAATTGCCAGCTTGCTATCCTCAACGGGGTCTGCAAGGTCCGGGTTGAGCTTCGTCTCCGGGAAGAAGAAGTGATTCCACGCATGGATCTGTTGTGATGTGTTCAAAAGCATGCTGTCGTAGCCCGTCGTTGCCGATGCCACCATCAGGAAGAAGGTCATGCTGTAGAGCTTCCTCAGATGCGGTTCCCTCGTCCAGTAAACCCTCTCAAACCGTGGAGGTTCTACCTCCGGTATCTCCTCGTAGACCTCCGAGACACTGTCTGGGTTTGGGTTGGGCTTGGTGTGGACGTTCATTGTTTCGTTGGGGTGCCCCCCAATTTCGACCCGGATCGTTCGTGTCGTCGGCGTCGTTGTTGGGATGATCTTTGTTGTTGGCATTGACGTTGAAGATCAAGGCTGCTGAGCAGGGACAACTTCGAGTTGGGTTTAGACTAGGACATGCACGTGTAGAGGTAACCTTCGATCAGACTGGAATCGATAGTAAGTTGGATACTACGACAGGAGATCTTGAGAAGGAAAGGAGTAGCAGTGAGGGTTCCACCTCCGCGTAGTATATGAGGATCCCCGGAGCATCTAGTATGCGAGTCCCAGCGGGAACCAGGCGGGAAGGGGTCGGGGAAGCATTGACATGCTGAAGGAGGCAACAAGAATAGGTGATCAGTCTGGGGTAAGACATCGTCGTGACATCCCGGTAACCATGGGTTGACGATGCGAGGCCACTAGTAGACCCCTGGGAATGATTCCCAATTTCATCTCTGTTCGGAATGGTCCAAGTCTCGAACCTCATCTTCTTAGTCAAGTTTGAAGTCATTCTTGTTCCAATTCAGGGGGAGGAAATGCAATAGTGGAGGGCCGGTGCGAGGTCCGACTGGACAAGAATCGAGAACTTTGAACAAAAGTGGTGAGAAGACGGGGTCGCCAGCCGTCGTTGCATCGCAAGTGGACGGCATCTCTCTTCAACGACACTGCGCCAACAAGACTGCTTGCTGGATGGAGGAGGCTGTTTCTGTGCCTGGAGGTGGTATCGTGCGGATGGCGGGAGAGGCTTGGCGAGAGAAGCCACAGGAGGCCCAAACTCCGGATAGCAACGGGGGTGAGGCCCCGAAAGGAAGTCATGACCGAGGGGATGGACAAGGCGTCCCAACGTTCTGTGTTGCGCATGGCGGGGAGGACGGGTCTAGGGAGCTTTGCCATCGTCGACCATGTGTTCTGCGGCTTCTGCCTCGCAGGGGTTCTCCGCAGTTGAAGGCTTTCTCTCACCCAATCGTGATGACCTCTTGTCCAGTGTATAGTGAATATTAATGACCTGCACTAGCAGCCTTTAGCTAGAAAATAGCGAAATATGGGGTGCATGCCATGAGAATCCTCCTCGTCTGTGCGTCTTCTCCAAACGTCCACCATCATGAACAAAACTTGTCGAGTCCGAGTGCAGCACATACGAATTCTAGCCTTCTCGAGCCTTGAGACATCGTGGTAGGTTTTAGGGCCCCTCGCTACCTCATGGTCGGTATCGCTCATTTATGTGACGACCCGCCCAGAAGGGTTGTGAGACTGGCTAGACCGTAGGTTGTTATTAGAAAGTCTCACTCCCAAGTCCCAACAGTCAGGAATTATCGAACGTTCGACGCGCCGGATATCCCATGGACGGGTAAAGAGCATGGCTCGTTTGTCCCTGGGATACACCTAGGGGAGCTCTCGTGGTCCCCAAAGTGTGGGCGAAGGTGATGCCAATCCCTGTCGGCAGCTAGGGACGTTCATCCGACTTGGGTGGATGGGACTCGGTGAACCGGGCGAGGCCGGGCAAACGCACCGAAGCGTCATGTTTAATCTCGCTGAAGCGCTTGTCGTGTTGTGCTGCGGACCAACAACTCTTGTGAACGAGCATGTCAGCAAGCTCTGCATCTGCCAGCGGTCGCCTGGCGTATTCGGTTCCAGAAAAGAGGTTGAGGCGAATGTTCGAGCTGGGAGGCACAGTCTTGAAGTGATGATGAGAAATTGGAAGGTCTGTGAGGTCTATGTCAGCACGGCGGCAATCAATGATAATGGAGGGGATGTCCGATGGTTGGAGGAGGCTTCCACTCATCCATCCCTTCCGAGAAGCAGCGAGAGAGTGACCCAGGTGCTCAGGGCAACTCCCCCAGCTTTCACTGTGAAGATCTTCTCTGTCCATCGGGTTCAAGAAGATCGAGTCCAACCTCCGGGTGAATAGGGCAGGGCTGTGAGTGGAAGAAGGAAGGGTGACATTATCCGCCAAAACCCCACTTCCCGTCGTTCCATTAGTGTCGCATCCCTGTGTTTAATTGCAAAGGAGGATTTTCGTAACCTCCAGACTGTCACCAACACCAACGACGACTTGTGATCCACGGGGAGTTCGGAGTAACGTGGCTTGGTCGGCAACTATCGGTTTTGTGGGAGGTGCAAGACGCGGAAGGAGATTGCAGAATCCGTGATGGAGGTCATTTCCTTGTGAGTTTCTTGATGGTTGTGGCGGAAGCAAGAACGACAATTAAAAGGGAAGATGGAAAGTGGTAGCAGCCCCGCACCGACCATATGTACACTGGGCTGCTATTGGTGCAGTCCACCCACCACCTACCACTGCCTGCCGCTGATTCTGCCCGCCAGCACCTGCCAGTCTTACGCAGTACACTCCAGTGCCCGGGCGGCCCGTGCCAGTGCCCTCAACTCACTTTTTCCGGCTGGGCCCGAAAACGGAAGTGACATCCAAGAAGGTAGGGCGACGACATGATGGGGTACAGGACGGGATGACAGCTTCCTCGCCTATTTCCGTGCCATTTCAATGGCAAGTTTGCGTCGCAACACGAATGGAAACGACAACTCGCGGAGTCGGAAATGAACGGACGGCAAGACGCGCCAGTGCGGGCGAGGCAGGCAAGACAGGCAAGAGACGGTTCGACCATCAAGCTGGGAGGTCTGGAATTGCTGGAAACAGCGACCCTGATTTTATCCATCGCGCTTCCCGGTTGGGTCCCGTCGTTGCTAACATTGGAATTGGCAGGCCAGTAACGCACCCAAAAATGGCAAAGGGAAAATAGAAAGAGCAAAGGGAAAAGGTGCCTCTAATGTACGGCAGGGGTCAAAAAACAGAAAGAATCGGCGCAGAGGATCTGATTAGCACTGGACGGACTGCTCCGGAATTCAATCCGTACCTCGGCGCCGATAATATGATCGACTCCCCTCCGGCCTCCACTCACCTCCGATCTGCGGCCCCGGAGCAGCTCCCGCCAGCCCTCGGCGCTCCATGCTGGTGCTTTTGGTGAATGACAAAGAAGAACATTGGCTGACATGGGTTTTCGTTGCATTTGCTTTTAGGAGCTCAAGGGAAGTTCAATTTCACATCGTCTCTTTAACCTCGTGTTTCTTTGCGTACAACTTCAACACCAGCAAACGAACAAAGCAGTTTTCAATCATCAGAGCAGCAGCCTTCCATTCTACAGCCTCCGTACCTCCACCATCAGTAATTCTTTCCGACCCCTTGCTTTGACCTCTCCATTTTCGACACCTCATCACCTCATTCCAAGCTCAGTTGCCATCATCGTCACCCTCTCCCTCCCCGTCTCCCTTCCCACTACCACTCATCTCCAACACCCCAAAAGCCCACTCGTCCACCGCCTCATGCCCCTTCGTCGTCAGATTCGTCTTCATCCAACAGGTATGATGCGTTTCCTCGTCGCCCGGGATCGCACCCCACCCCGCTCCTGTGCACCCTTGCTTCTGCGCGCACTTATCCAAGCACGAGTTGAAGCTGGTCGTGTTTACGGAGCCAATGTCGACGGCTTCACCTTTGCCAAAGTCAACGCCGCAGAGACGTTGGAATGTCTTGCTGCTGCTGCCACCGGGGCTGGTAGAATTACCGGCCACCGTTGCCGTGTACAAAGTTCCGTTGATGGACGGACACTCAATTTTTGCGATGGCGGTTGCAGTCGAAGACGCACTGGCGCTGGTGGAGGTGGCAGTTGCGACTGTCGGGGAGGGGATTGCCCTAGATGGGGTTAGTTCTGGTCATCGGGTTGGAAAGATGGAAGGAAGACCTACCCAAGTCCTGCCGTGATGCTCGCTTGCGCCAACTTCAAGTCATTCTTGGCATCGTGGAGGTTCTTCTGGCTCACTCCTAGACCTGCCGCAAGACCAATGACTGTCGCGAGAAGCAGGGCCAAGGTACCGACGACGGCAAGTGCGATGCTCCGTTTCACCGTGAGGAGGGTCGACCCCGACCCGGCACCTGTGTTCTTTTCTGGCAACATTGGGGTATCTTGGTCCGGATATGGATGTTGAACCTCGTGGGGCACAAAACCTGTCTCCTCTGCTTGCTGAGGACCGGGGAATGGCTGGTAAGGGTGTCCACCTCCGACCTGTGCTGGCGGGGATTGTTGCTGGTAGCTGTAGCTTGTCATTTTGACCTCGTCTCAACTGCCGACAACGGTCAAGACCTCGATGTTATATATCTGATCGACCAAGTCGCAATCCACACAAGCGGCGCAGCAGGAGCAAAAGTCTGGACCAGCCTCGGACTTGGATTTTAGGGGCGTCGGGTGGAACGAATGAAACGCCAGCTTTTTGATGCTGTGCAACCGCGCTGAATAACACCACCCTTCTTCGTGAAAACCGTTGCTACTCCGCGGACCAGTCATGATCGAGTTTATCTCGGTGCCTGAGTAAGCGCTAAGGACAAGCATATCATCCCGCTTGATAACTGCCGTTGTAAGATCAGCCTGACTGTCTTGAGAAAGGCGTAGTGGATCTATGTGGAACGCAAAACCGAAGAGAAAACACAAGCGATCATAAGGCTAGATAATCGGTTTTTCATTCAAAGAACAGTGCTTACGTTGCACGAACAACTGGCTGCGATATCACGGAGTGTCTCACGTTCAATTGTTTTCAACAGCATTACAACCCCTAACCCTTATCTGTTGATCTGGCCCACGATAGACCACATTGACGTCATCGCACGATAACGCTTCTACCGCGACATTGCAACATTGGACTGGCGCCGAAAATAACCTCGTTGTTGACAAGCCTACGTGAATGAGCTTGCGATACATTACCCACCACCATTCTACCCGCATCCTGCATCGGTCGTCACCCAAGATGTCCACCTCCACCCCCTCCTCCACTGCTCCAAATCCTAGCCAGAAACCACTAAAACACCGATCCGTGGTCTCCTCCTTCATCTTCAAACTTCCCTCTTCTTACCTCCCCTCTTTATCCCCCTCCTCCTCCTTATCGACCTCCTCCAACTCCGATTCATCTATCCAAAAACCACTCGTGGCCCTGTTCAAACGCTCCGACAAAGTCAGCACTTACCCCCATCACCACGCCCCCATCTCCGGTTCCATCGAAGCAACCGACCCCTCCCCCCTTAGCGCAGCCTGGCGCGAAATTCATGAAGAGACCACTTTAACTGCTTCCGATCTGAAGCTCCTTCGGCAAGGGAAGCCGTACACTTTCTCTGATGAATCAGTAGGACGAGAATGGACAATTTGGCCGTTTGGGTTTTTGTTGAAGGACCCGGCTGGGGATGGCGAGGGGAGCGAGAAAAGGATCAAGATCGATTGGGAGCACGAGGGGTGGGGATGGTTCGATCCGTTGGACGTGCAAGATACAGAAGAATTCGGAGGAGTGCCGAAGCTGAAGGAGAGTTTGAGGAGGGTCTGGTTTGAGATTGATCTCGGGCCTGAAGCCGGCAAAGTACTGGCGGAGGGGTGTAAGCGTTTGGAAGAGGATTATGTGAGCGGGGCGAGGCAGATGGCTGGTGATGCCTTGCGTATCTTGCGGGATGTGATCGACAAGATGGATGATGGTGTCTTGGATGGAAAGAATGGAGATGGGAGAGAAGCCAAATGGTGGAAGGACATCAGAATGGCTGCATGGCATCTTTGGAAGAATGGGCGGGAGAGTATGGGCGCGGCGATCATGTCCGCTTTGTTGTCTGCTTTGGCTTCCGTTGAGGCTCAAGTTTTCCAGGACCATTCCACCAGCTCCAAGGACAGCGGAAGGCAACTCAAATCAACCATCGTCTCCGTTTTGGACCGGGAGATCTCTGCCCGGTCCTCAACCAACGAGCAGATTTCCCAATCCTTCGCCTCCTACATCTCCCATCACCTCTCCTCCCTCATCAAATCTCAGAAACCTCTTTCTATTCTGACCTTGTCAGAATCCTCCACAATCACTCACGCCCTCTCCCACCTCCCCATCCTTCTCCCCAACTTAATCCTCGATATTCGCATCCTTGAATCCCGCCCCCTGCTCGAAGGTGTCTCTCTCGCCGCCAGCCTCGCCAAAGCTCTCTCCACAGACTTAGCATCCAGTAACAACCGCCAACACAGCATCACCGTTTACACCGACGCCTCGGCCTGTCTTGCCACCCATGGGGTGCAGCTGGTGGTGATAGGCGCCGACCGCATCGCCTCCGATGGCTCTGTGAGCAACAAGACTGGCTCGCTGTCTACTCTCCTCGCCACTCGACACAACGCAAAAGCAGCCAAGGTGGTAGTCCTTTGCGACTCGGAGAAGGTGGCACTCCCTGGACCGCTAGAACAACACGTAGTGGAGGATCAGGGGTTGGAGCAAGTGACGAGGGCGTGGATGGGCGAGGGGAGTAGTGAGCGGATTAGAGGGGCTGCTAGGACGGTACTGAACTTTGCTGATGCCACAAAAACTGAGGGGAAGAAGACGGGGGTGAAAGTGGAAGTGAGGAATGTGTCTTTCGAGTGGTGTGCTGGAGGGCTCATTGATGCTTACGTTACTGAGGAGGGCGAGTGGAATGATGAGAACGTGAAGAAGAAGTCAGAGGCGCTTCAGGGGTTGGAGAAACGGTTGTTTGGACCTTTGTGAGCTGTATTGATGGAGGCGGAAAGGCGATGACGCAAAGCAAAGGGCCGATCCTGCAGTGGTAGCGGAAGAGGGAAAACGGAAAACAATGTCAGCCAGAATACCAAGTGTCAAGGGAATTCCATTGAATGCGCCAGGGTACGGACTTCTAGTGTGTCACCGAAGAAGGCAAAGGACGCTTGGAACAAAGGTCTAACAAATTCAACGCTAATTCTATAAAGTCGAAGGGGGTATAATCTCTAGTGCCTATGCCTGCCGTGCATTTTGTATCATGAGACTCCTAACAAAGCAAGTGCATCCGTGGTATCCAACACATGGGAACTTCTAAACCCCAAAGACAAGAAGAATGTCACGAGAAAACCAACAACATGGCATGGTCTTAGGCAAGCGAATTGCCCGGTCTATATACCTGCATACCGTCATCATCCTGCCATGTCTTGAGCTCCTGAACAACCGTGGTACCGTCTTCAGGTCTCACATTCTGTAGCCAGCCTTGCACATGACTGGGGTACGGCTTCGTCGGAGAGCCCGTTATCGGACCAGAGAGGGGCCCCGGTGTGGTCTCTCTGTTCACAGGGCTATGCACCGATCCGCTCTGCTGCTTCTCCGTGGGCACAGACAGCTGCTCATGCTCCTTGCGGTGAATCACTTCGTGCAGCTTATCAACCAAGGGCTTCAGATCGTTGAGGACGTTGTGACAGTCCTTCCCATAGTCACTGCCTGTCATCGCCTCATTCTTGAACACCTCCTTCGCCTTGTCGATCAGGAACATGTCGTACACTCTTTGGTTGACAAAGAGGATTTGATGCATCAGAAGGATGATGGCAGCATTGAAGATGTGATGGAGGTCCTGCACGAGCAGCTTCTGGCCGGGGCTGATGATTTGTAGCCGTCTACCGATGCGGAGGTTGCGCCGTGCGGCATCACTGCACTTGCGGATGGCTCTGGTCCAAGGGTTCTCCGGTTCCGCTCCGGAGCCCTCAAGCCCAGGTGTCAACCAAGTATTGGCCACCTTCTTCTTGACAGCGGTGAGGAACGCGGGACGGATTGCCAAGATGATGAGCTAGAACCGTTAGCTGTCCGTCATGAACATCATGTGAGGGGTGAAAACAGACATACCTGGTTGTAAGACATGTGCAGTGACAACAGAGCTCGGTCGGTACCGAGTGCCGGGTCCTCGGCTTCGGGCTGGAGAGCATAGTAGTAATAGTTACTAGGACTCTCCTCCAAATTCTCGAGCTTCAAGCTCTTGGGTAGGTTCTCGTGCCATTGGTCGAGCTTCCCAATCGCGACCGAGAAGGGCAGCTCATCGAACCCGTCGGCCGGCTTGTTCGCATGGTGACGATAGCTGTTGTTGACGATGTACGCGGAAATCTTGGAGAGCTCCACATGTGCACACAGCCCAAGAGGCGAAGGAAGGCCCCTATGAGATACACCATTAGGCCAAGTACGGTGAAGGTACGGTGAAGGGTACAACTCACGGTGCTTCCTGTGGCAGGGACAGGGTAATGGCCTGATGAGGGACCGCGGGTGGGCGACCCATCAAGCAGCTCAGCCAGCTGGAAGGAACATGTATGTGTCAGCGAGTGGTTGGATGGTTGACGCCCGGAGGCAGCACCGGTAGGTAGGTAAGGTGAATGGCAACGGCATGGACTTACCGATCGATAATGTAAACCGTCCAGAAAGTCCTACGCTCGATCTCGGTTACTGAACTTTCCCTGTGCACGCCGTGCATCACGCTAAGATGCATCGCGTTACTGATGGCCATGTAGGCGGCATCTCTGCGATTGTTCTCCACCAGGTACAGGGCCATCAGGGCCAAAACGGCCACGTTGTAGATTGTGTAGGACGTCATGTCCAAGGGGTTTCCGATCAGCATCCGAGCGGCCGCATAGTGGGCTTCGCCCAATTGGCCATCCACCCGGGAATTCTCCTCGGTCAGGGTCAGCAGATGGGTGAAGGCAAAGGCCGTGTATACCAATGCCAGCTGGCCGTGCTCCCGAGCGGTGTGGTTCCGGGGTTTAGTGGTGTCCAAAAAACCGGACTGGTCCGGTAGCGCCATCTTGGCGGGGTCCTGGAATGGCCAGAAAAAAATGCCGCCGCACCCTGCCTTGCCGTTGTCGTCCTGGAGGAAGGTCTTGAACTGCGGGATCATGGCCTGAATTTCCAACTGCGTGGGGATGCGCGGCTCCACGTCCATGGCCGGGAGCAGGAGAGGACGGGAATCGAACGTCTGGTAGCGACCAACCGAATTGAGGAAGGTGGCATTCCTGCTGCCGTCGGGCGTGTCAGGGTTGGGAGAGAGACCTTTGGAGGCCAGCGGCTGCGTCGTCTTGATGAAGGCCTTGAGCGAGTCAAGGAAGGTGGCGCCAGAGGTTTCTCCTAGGTAGCGAGCGGTACCCTCAGCGTCGGCCAGCATTCTGCCGTCGTCGACGGGGTAGTCCATCTGCATCTCCGTGTCCTCATCGATGGAGAAGGCGGGCTCAAAGTTGTGGTTGTGCGCATGGACAGGGTAGTCGTAGTGCGAGGCCGTGGACGTGACCGAGCCTTCGGTAAGATAGGCATGGCCGGCGGCCCCTACGCCATCCGGCGAGTCGATGCTCATGCCGCCCTGCTCCCCTTCCTGCAACGGCTGAAGCAAGCCGCTGAGGTCGATCTTGCTATTGCCATTGCCATTGCCGCCAGCCGCTTTGCTGGTGATCTGGAGCTGACCCTCGTATTTGGCTATCTTGCCGAGCAGGCCGTCGATGTAAGTCTGGGGGACGGTGACCTTTTTAACGCCCTGGGGGTAGATGCACTGGCGCTGGGCCTGGGTACACTGGCGACACGGCTTTTCGCCGGAGCACTTGATGCGCTTGACATTGCAGTTGTTGCAGGCGAGGGCGACGCGCTTGCGCTGCTCGGGCGCGACCTTTTTCCTCCGCGGATTGACGGGTAAGCGAAAGTTGGGATCGTCGGCGCCCGAACTCTTGGACGACCTCGGCATATCTGAAGCCAGCTTGTCGGTGTGGTGTTGCTGTCACACCTGTATCCCAAGTGGTGCTCGCCTTGGGTTCTGGAAGGAGGAGGGGAAATGCCGAAAAGGTTGGCGAGAAGAGACGGTAGGTGAGGGACGGTAGGATGATGAGGCGATTGGGATCACACTGGCACCCGACTACACTTTCCATCTGGCAGTGTGCGTCAAATAGCCTTGGTTCTTGCCAGTGCCGCGTCGTCCTGTTCACCTCCTGTCGACGGCGAGGATGGTGATGATGCGTTGTCTTCTCAGTCGGTCAGAGTCACAGCGAGAGTGAGTTGTCAAAGGGTGAGGTGAGTGAGGTGAGAGCCCGAGTGTCGGCGTCGGCCGGCGTCAATAAGCGTTATGAGGTGAGGTGAGGCCGGGTTATGTCGATGAGATGCGCAGGCGTGACCACTGCACACAAGGACTCGCTGACAACGGCTCCCCCTCTTGACCGACCGGTGTGGTCCGTGGTCGCGATGGTGGTGGCACGTCCAGACGGGCGTCAGGTCGTGTCGTGGGGGGGAGGAAGGAGGGTGGTGCGTTGGGTGAAGCTGAGAAGAAGTACTAAGGGAAGAGAGAAGGAAGAAGAGGGGAGGAGGGAGTGGAAGAAAGAAGTGAAGAGAAGACTAGAAAGAGGGGGGGCGAGTCAGGTGAAGAAAAGATGAGAAGACAAGACCGAAAGACGGCAAGTGTGAATGCAAGTTCACTCCAGAAGAAAACGGGAAGGAGAAAACGGGGACAACGGGGGTCAGTGGTTAGGTCGTCATCCACAACGGGCAGCAACGACGGAGACGGGACAACGGGACAAGGAAGGAAGTAGCCGCCGGAGAAGAAGTGGAATCGAGACCCGACGTCGACTTCAAGAACCGAACCTCGTGCTCACCACACAACACATGGAAGTCGAAGAAAAGGAAGGAGTCGGCGACCAGCGGCGGCTGATGATTAAGCTAGTAGCGAGTACTGTGACAAGAGGTCGACTTTGAGGTTCAAGTTCCGCACTGGCATCGGTGTCAGTACCCGTCCGTGGATTTGTACCCGCGCCGGCCACTGCATGCGCTTTTGGCGGATTCGGATTGCGTGGTGCGAGGATTGGAGGGATTGGTGGTGCGGAGGGGAGTGGATGGGAAGAGCGACAGACTTGTGCCCGGACAAGGAAATATTTGCAAGGTACTCGGTGATAGCAGGCTTTGTGGCAGGGAAAGTCCGTGCCGGGGCCTGAGAGGGCTTACCAGGGGCTGCCAGGGCTCGCTGGGGCACCGGTGGGCACGCACCCAGGGCATGCACGCGGGTGGGGGGAAGACAGCCCGCTAACCCAAGTAACATCTGGAGGTACCTGCCCTAGTGGATGTCTTTGGTACTGTATCCGGAAAAGAGCCCGTGCGCATGGATCCCTTTCCATCTGAAGGAGCCCACTGTTTCCTCCCACTGAACCCGACTGACTGGGTACAAGGGCACGGGGCACAGATGTCGACTGGGCAAGTGTGGGCGCGGAGGGGTAGCGGGCAGGCTAGCAAGGGCGGTAAGGTACTGCAACTTCCTTTTCACTTCATCGATGGATCGGCTCCAACCCGCGACTTCCCTTCTTCTTTCGCTTCTTTTTGTTCTGCAACCAACAAGACAACAAGAGAATTGTGTTATCTTCAAAGCCTGAGCGAGGGGGAAACAAGCGAAAGAACAGGCCCGGGCTTGATATTGGCTCCTTGTGCTACCACAACTCGGTCCTCACAGCCTGTTCTTGCCTGCTCTTGCCGGTTCAATCTCATGCATCAGCCTTCACCGAAATGCACCATTTGCCCCGACGGCACCGGGAATGGGGGAAAGCACCCAATGGGCTGATACCCGATTGCTTCCCGACTCCTCTCATTGCTTACCTTGCTTCGAGGTTGCTTGCCTGCTTGCTTGCCGTCAAGGCAATAATAGGTTGGGACCATCAATGACATGATGCAAACGAGAGACTGTCAATCCTCAACCCACATCTCCCATGACAAGTCACTTGTCACTCGACAATCGCTCTTTCATCAAACGTGGTGAGGTGAGCTAAAAAGATGGAAGGAGGGGAAACATTTTGCTCGGTTGGGGGGTGGATGGGACCGGGAGCCACTCACTGCTTCTGGCCGCCGACCGTGACCTACCGTGACAAGCGCAGCCGCGAGACCGGCGAAGGAAGCTAGCCCCAGAGGGGTTAGATCAGCCTGTGCTGATTTCAAGGTGAAGCTTCCAACCGACAATGCTGACAACTGAACCAGTCCTGCCGCTGAGTATCCAGTGACAAGACAGTGACAAGCGAGGTCGACATGGAAGGCACAGCGCAGTGCGAGTGCACCCCTGGGATGATTGGACTTCCACTTCTTGAAAAGGCGACCGGCCGGCTCATGGCTCATCATCAGTACAGCAAGCATCAGCATAACTCTCTAGCAAGCGTCGAGGGGCATCCAGAGTTGCTGTGGTCCAGCAATAGTCCTCAGGCTCAGCAACAACGAACAGCGGCAGGGACAACGAAAAAACATGGGTGCCCCGTGGTCAAAGAGGATACCTTCCACTCACCTCTACAACCATAGGCAAGACATTGACCCGTCAAGACCCGTGTCAATGGCATGGTAGCCATGGAGTGGCATGGCAATCCTCCGCCTTTTCACCACCGATTAAGAGAACGATGGGCCCTGGGACGGGCGGTGTGTCGACAGTGTCTACCAAGTCTCGGATAGGTGTGTGATCGATGCGAGCCAGAACAGAGGACGCTGGGACGCAACATGAATGTGCCAAAGTGGGGGGCTGGCCGCGTAGCATTGGGACCAATTCACACGACATTGATTCACATCCAGTCCAGTCTAGAATTCCAGGATTCGAGAATTCGGTCAGGAAGATCCACGAGAAACCCACCAAGGACCAACGCAACTACCTACCCACACGAGCCACACTACTTCCTGGTCCTTGCATTAAAGACTGCGATCGTTGATACCCAATCTTTTGCTCAATCTTGAGGACGAGGTACCCGACATACGGAGCTATATATCCACCACTCACCACCGTTTTGACTACCCTTGGCCTACAAGCTATGATCCCCCATCCATTATCCTACACCCATTTTTGCTATCCCTTTTCCTGCTGCTCTCCTCCACCATCTTCCCAGCCTCAGCCTCACCCGTCCTCCTGTTCTCCCACCTCAACACCTCCGTATACGCCCAATACCCCATAATTGCCATTCCAACAAACCCAAATGTAATCAACAACGGCTCCCTATATCCATCTCCCCTTTTCTCTTGACCATGGCCACCATCATGCTCACTGCCGATCCTAAACACCCAGCTCCCAATAACCCCCGCCAGATTACCCCATCCGTTAACACCCAGCACCAGCGCTCTCTTGTTCGGGGAACGCGTGGTATTGGATAGCCAAGCAGCGGTTAGAGGCGGGGGTACGTAGGAGCCGAAGAGAAGAATGCACAGGGCCATGTATTTGCCGGACGGGGAAGTGGTCAGAACAATACCTGCTAGCCCGACTGCTGAAATCGCAAGTCCGGCCATGATGTGATACCCCCGCTCTTGACGGCGGTCGGAGGAAAGGGCAAAGAGGTAGACGCCCAATGCGCCGAAGACGAAGGGGGGTACTGACATCTGTTTGCCGTTGAGTGTTAGCGGACATTTACTATGAGTACGGGAATCTGATGCAGAGGTGAGAAACACGGAACGAACCAGGTTGGCTTGCAGGGCCGAGTATCCCATCCCCTCTACTACCAAAGGCAAGAACACCGAGAATGCGGTGCTGGGGATGCTGGCGCAGATGTTGCAGAGAAGGAGGAACCAGAGCTTCCAGTCACGGACGGTTTCGACGATTTCTCGCCAGGTTACAAGACGTCCGGATGCTTCTTCTTCAACATCTCCGGCGGATGGTACTGCTACCATCCGCTGACTCTCGGTATCATCTTCATCATGGCATCTCCCGTTCACTCTATATCCCGTTCCTTCACCATCGCCCTGTGCTGTCCATCCCTTAACTCCAACTCCATCTACGACCCGACATCTCCTGAATAACGCTCTCTCCTCCGCTGTCAAAAACCAAGCACTCTCCGGCCCCTTGGGCAACCATGCCCAGGCAAACAGTGCGACAAGACATGTCGCACCACCTTCGATGAGGAACAGGAGCTGCCAGCTCTTTAGCGTCGGGTGTTCTATCCGGAATATAGCATAGGCTAGTCCACTGACGGTTAGCGAGCTAGTCCCAAGGGCGAGAGCAGTTCATACTGTGACTGTGGTGCGTGCATGAATGGTTGTTTGGTTGATGGACATGGGCCGTGTCCGGGGATATGAATGGAGCCATGGATGCACATCCACGCCAGTCCACGTCAACGTCAGGGTCTGCTGGCCGGGACTCAGTGGGATGAGACATCGCTTCACCACCATAACTGCATCCCCGGCGGCACTGTTGACATATCGAAGGTTCACGGAGACACGGAAGGGACGATGTACATACCTATGACCCCGGAAAACGCCCCTGCCACGGCGTATTGTCCATAGAATAGCGCAATGCGCACAGCAAGGTCAAATGGGGGGTAGAAAGCTGTCAAGTAGGCGAGGGCCGTGGGGTAGAATCCGGCTTCGAAGGCGCCGATGAGGAGGCGGGTGGTTATGAGAGAGCCTATTATGGTTCGCGAGTACGTTAGCCTTGGGAACTGTGTGTGTGGGTAGAGGTATGTGTAGAGCAGTGACTGGTCTGGAGGTTGGGAAAGAGAGCAAAAGATTTCTAACGTGATGCAGTTCGATGAAACTGCCATGCAGGGCTACAGTATGAACAGCTATGTAGCTCAACTCACCTCTTCCTTTGATAAAGGCCTGAGACAGTGTCAATGCTCCCCAGCCGAGCTACGGTTGTACAAAACAGACAAATCACGTATTAGTCAAGTGTTCCTTCATCCAATTTTAGGGTCCGGTTAACAGAGACTGGAGCCATCCGTAACTTTGGCTTCTACCCAAACCTCACTCCATCCGGTCCTTCATCGTCGCGATCTTGAACATCACTGATTGTATCACATATCAAAACCTACCATGATTCCAACAATC